GTAAGGCATGCTTGTTACCAGGCACTGGGTCCCACTGATGTATAGCCCAGGGGTGTTGCCAGTTGGCCTCAGGGCAGTACAGGGGGCCTTAGCGGCTGGAGCTGGAAGGTCAGGGACTCTGGCCCTTCTCTTGAAAAGTCAGGGACTCACTTTGCACAAGGACCAACTTAGCTGCCCCTGTTCTCTATGTTACAGCTTTTGGTTTCAGTCCCCTTTGCTGACTATAGTTTCCGTGTGTATTAGTGACATTCTCAAGAGAGCATTTCTGATGCCCCTGAATCGGTCTATGAATGGAGCAGTCACTTGCCCACCTCTCATCCAAGCCCATGTGGCCTAGAAGGAGACAAAATCACATGGCACATGGTAGGAAGGTACAAGGATTCGCCCTTTAGGCTGGGGAGGGGGGAGGGGCAGGGAAGATGGATCTAGAAAGGCAGTTGGGAAAGCCAAATGGGCTGAGCCATCTGACACAGGACTGCTATGACCATCCCTCCTATGTCAGAGGGTAATTATCAGGGTTCAGTCGGGCAGAGCCAAGGAAAAGACTCGGCCCAGTGCCCCGCACGGAGGAATTTAGGAATAGCCATTCTCTGTGGTCAGTCAGCCCTGTAGGCCACCCTCCCTTCTCTTTAAAAGAGCTTGATGTTCAAGATCTAGAAATGTCTCATAAATGTTACCAACCGAACTCCAGACCTGGTTCCCCAGTCCCTCTCCCTGAATTAATTAAAAAACGGCAAAGTGGGGGCCGCCTCCTCCCTCTGAAAACGGAGCCCAGAGCCAGCCTAAGGAGGACGGGCACCACGCCCCTCCATGGTGCCCATCACGAGCCCATGGTTCATGACATTTCATTAAACTGTACAGTTATCATGAATGTTTATATCTATGTAAATTATATTTCAATAAATAGTTTGAAAGATTGATGGAGAATAAGGTGATAGTCAATATTGGATGCTATGGTATGGCCTCAACTCAGTTAATTTCACTGATTCCAGGGCGGTTTCCCAATGCTGTACGTATTTCTGCACCTCTGAAAAATGTTAGGTTATTTTCTGGGTATTGATATGGTCTGCTAGCCACAGGCAGCTAACTAAATTTCGAAGATATGTTGATATTGAACCTACCTTAAGCACTTTGCTGCACATGTGTAAAGTAAACTGGTTCTCTAAGTTCTCATTTCAAGAGAGTTCAGTAGCACTGCTTCCCGACTTAAGGTGGCTAAAGCCTGCCATCACAGTGGTGGCATTGAGGCTGGGCTTCTCCCTACCCCACTTAGATGCTGCAGTGGAAAAGATGCGGCGGAAAGTGGAAGTCAGTCCCATTAACGGCTTCTGTTTGCTCTCAAGTACACTGTTAAGATCTTTTTGCTGCAGGAAAGGGGGAAAGTGGGAGGGGGGCGGTTGGAGAGAGTAGGGAAGGTCTGAGACACCTTCATGCTGAATGGGAGAGCAAGCTGACTAACATTCTGTTTTGTAAGTTATAAATCTTTGACTAGCAAGCTGCTTTGTAAATTAAAAGTCCAAATGTTAAAGCTGGCCAAATGTCAGTTGAAATTATTTGGAATTGTTCCACCAGCAAGAGTCATCATTAAAATTTGTCTCCATCCTTTCAATTTAGGTTTCAATGTGGAGACGGTGGAATATAACAATATCAGCCTCATCATCTGGGATGTCAATAGCCATTGTAAACACAGACCTATGTGGAGACATTATTTCAAGGACACCAAAGGTAAGGATTATCCAGTCCACAGCCATGGAGCCGTTTATATTAAATGTATCTAAAGATGCATGCTTGAACCCAGCCGGTGTGGCTCAGTGGTTGAGTGTCAACCTATGAACCAGGAGGTCACGGTTCAATTCCTGGTCAGGGCACATGCCCGGGTCGATCTCCAGTGTTGGGCGTGCAGGAGGCAGTCGATCAATGATCCCCTCTCATCACTGATGTTTCTATCTCTCTCTCCCTCTCCCTTCGTCTCTGAAATCAATAACAATATATATTTCTTAAAAAGACACATGCTTGAAGCCCCTGGTGGTGCTCTACTTTATTTGGACTGTCAGTCGTCACTTCTCTTCCGATGGCTCACTTTTGCTTACTGGGGAGATTTCTTTTTGAGAAATGGTCCCTGCATTCCTAGAAAAAGTACTTGGGCTTTAATGCCCAATATAGGAAAGTCCTTTTAATCAAGTAATGGTTAGAAAATAGTTATCCTGATGAATTTCATTCTTTGGTTGAGAGTTATAGGTGCCCTTGGATGAGGTACCAGTTTTTGAAGAATCTGAATTCACTAAACATTTTTAAACCTAGTGAGAATATCTAAAAATCATGCCTCTGGAGAGAAAAAGATGAACAGAGATGGCTGAATCCCCAAATCCCAAATCCCAGCCTCTTGTGTGGTCACAGTCTCTACCTGCTGTCCAACTATTCTACAAGTACACGTATAGGCATGAATATCCCAGATTGTTACTGTATTTCCTTACCATTGGTTTCTTAAAGATGGGGCTATATCATAGATAATGCATAAAATGGTCTATTAGTTCTCACATAGGAGGATTTTTCTTTGATTGCAGGTAATTTTAACTTGTTAAATGGCAATGTACTTATATGGTTCAAAATTCAAAAAGAAATAAAAGTCTATAATAAAAAGTCATCAGCTCATCACTCATCACTGACCCCTTAACCATCCAGTCCCCTCCTTTAGGCAACAATTTTTATTTTTTGTATATCTGCCCAACGGTATTTTATGCAGTATAATTATGCTATAATTACATATTCCTCCCCCATTTACAAAACAAATTACAGTATGCTACTCATGTGTCAATTTACCTTTTCTAGGCTCTTTTAGTGCAAAAGTGTAGTCAGTCTGATGCGAGGTTCTTTGTTTCTCAGATAAGGATCCCTATAAAAATAGAATATGAAAAGGTACCTAATATTTATAAACCTTTATTTTTATTAGGAATGGCAAAGAGATACTAGTACTATGCTGGCTTCCCCCTGTCTGTTTTGCATTAGAAACTAATGATTCTAAGGATCTCTTCAAATTTCTGGATAACCTGGTTTGCTTAGTGATGATCACGGTCCAGCAGAGCTGGTGGGAGAATTTATATTTTGGGGGGGGGGGGGGGGTTTGAATGTTTTGCACTTTTAAAATCTGATGTGCTATAACAGACATGGCTTTGACTCACGTGCAAGCCCCAAACCTTCAGCAGCTGTCGAGCTGTCTCCCGGAGTGGGCTGGTCCAGAGCGGCTGGCCCGGAGCAGCTGTTGGAGGGGGTGGCAGGACTGGGAAGCATGGAGGGATGGGTCAGAGCGCCAGCACTGGCTTTCCCTCCTAGATATAGTCATGAAACCTCATAGAAGGAACCTAGAGGACATCTCATCTCACTACCCTCTCCTTCCCAGCAGGGTCCCTTCTGCAGTGTCCCCACAAGTTGTGGCTTAAGCTGGGCATGAACACCTCCAGTCACAGGAGGGCCTCCTCAGTAGCTCATTGCTTCAGTTCTGTTGACTCGTTATCATGTTGACTTACTGTAGATTTTACCCACTGACCTTCCATCTACTATATAAAACAAGTTAAATCTCTCTTTATGCCATAGCCCTTTAAATATCTGAAGACAACGATCAGCAGTCCCCGCAATGAGTCTTTTCTCCAGGTAAAATATCCCCAGTTATAGCAGTTATTTTTCAGATGACATGGTATCTGATTCCTTTTCCATCCTAGTCATTCTCAATCCCTCCAGTTTGCCTGTGCTTTAGGATGTGGGGTCCAGCACTGACCACATAACATTCCCAGGATATTCTGACCGACATACAATAGAGTGGGCTTTTTATCACCCATGTCCTAAAAACTAAGCTACCTTCACTGCTGTTGATACAGCTGAGGATCAAATTTGTTCTTTTGGCAACCACATCCTTGTCTGAGAGAGGGCTTACTGTCACCTGAACCCCACGTGGTCATTACCGTTATTGCCACATGGACTGCTGCTAAGAAAGTCTCCCCCATCCTGTATTTGGATGGTGTGTTGGAGTCCTCCTGGGCACCTCCTTTGGGAGATCCTTGTACCACCTCTTTCCCCAGCCAATGTGGCAGTCACCAGGTCTGTGCAGGTTTCAACGATATTTGCTCAGATACAGTGTGGCAGCACCTTTCTTCAACCTGTCTCTGGCTTCCTGGGATTTTTCTGGGATGCCGCAAAGACTTCTGACACCAGCTATCTGGAGTTGTGCCAAACTTCATGGGTCACGTGCACAAGGCAACTTTACTTCAGGCACCAGCTGCAAGTTTGGGGTTCCCACTACCCCCTCAGGTTCATCGGAATGACTTCCAGGACACAGGAAAGGGCTATATTTACCATTACAGTTTTATTACAAGGACACAAATGAACCAAAGGGAGAGATCCCGGTGGTACCAACACACAGCTTCCATTGTTCTCTCCCTGCTCACATGTGTGGTTTCACTAAAAGCAATCAGATGGAAGGATACAGGGTGGGGCAAAAGTAGGTTTACAGTTGTGAG